TCTCCTCACGGCGAAAGGCCCCCTCGTCACAGGCCCGGAGGAAGTCTCAAGCCCGAGACCGGCAGCCTGTCCGTCCCGGTGCATTGTTTAGCCCGTCCCGGACGCAGGACTTCGTGTTTTCCCTTGACTTCAATGAGATTCCTGTTGGTCTCGCTCCTTTGGCTTGCCCAGGTGCCGCTGAGCAGCAGCCCTGCCCTTGAGTGGAATGACTGCACTCCCAATTAATGGTAATTAAGACAATTAACTTCCGTAGTTAGCCAGTTAGTTCTGGTGAATTGACCAGAAAACATAAGAAGAGATCACTGTACAGGTCTAAGCTGCCTTCCTGCCTGGTAAGTTCTTGTTTGGCTGGAGACTATCTTGGCTTGGAAGGAACTTCTTGTCATTGTTTGAGCAACACGGGACTAATTTCTCTTCTAATACTTGGGAAGACTGCACTTTCAAAAGACTCTAGTGTCTGAATTTGTGAAAATATTTACTTTATAGCCAGCTATGGTGTGTGGGTTTCAAGATCTCAGTGTTTTTGAGCTTGCCAGGTGCAGGGATGAGGAGGAGCGAGACCCAGGCACATGACCCAAGCTGGCTAACAGGGTTAGTTCATACCATCGACGTCACATTCACTAAAAATTAGAAAGTTTGCTGTGAAGTTCTCTCTCTCCCTTGATGGCTGCCATCCTGAGAACTTCGTGCCCTGGTGCCAGACCCCTGAGGCCTTCCCTTCCTCCTGAAGCCATAGCACTCTGTGTCCGACATTTGCTGTCCACTGCTGAGAGTGCACAGCTTCCTACTCATATAATTGGCTGGGTATAATCTTTGCATATTCCGTATTGATATCAGGATCAATATTGGTTCTTTAGTACTATTAATGTTAATTATCTAATCTTACTCTATTAAATCTGTTTTTACTTCATCTCCTGGGTTTCCTTGTTTTTACTGATTCCCTTTCCTGGGTGAGGAGGGGTCATTGGGTGGTACAATGATTGTCTAAATGACAATAAATTGTTATGGGTCTCTCAAACCATAACACTTGTGATGAAGAATTTTTTAACTCCCAAAAGTTGATAAGCCCTGTTGTAAAACATTTACAGTCTTTCCCCCCCCCCGCCCCAATGAAACACCTCTGGATTTTTTCCACATTTTGTCCGTTTGTCTTATGAGGCACCTTTACTTTCTCCATAGGAATCTGGGCTTTGATCAAACCATTCCTTAATGCCTGAGTACAGGTCTGGCCTTTATTTATTCACACTGAAGTGGACTCAGCATTAGCATCTGGGGACAGAAGCAAAAGATTGCTCCTAGTCAGAAATTTAGCAGCAGCCACGGGCTTCCACTGTTCCTCCAACACCAAGCGAGCAGGGAGACAGGCCTGCCCATAGCTCCACTCACACCATGCAGAAATGAAAGTGACAGCAATTTTCTTCATTTGCTACTTCTCAAGGGTAGGTCACCTCTCCCAATGACTCAGTGATATTCTCTCCTCACTAGGTATTCAAATTGTACCTGCCATTACCAAAGAAGATTTTTGTCGACAGCTTCTCAGCATTGTAGAGTTCCCTGCCTTTCTGAGCTGTAAGCTTCTTGCCACCACAATTAATGCCAGCTGAAGATTAGGTAAGTAAGAGCCTCACAGAACACATACCTTCTAAGATCTTCCATGTGATACACATAGACTGAACTCAAAGTCTCTGTATTACCATTTTTCTGATCCTTTAGCAATTCTTGTGGTTTGTAAAAGAAAAAAAAAAATCTTTCTCTAATTTATCAGTGCACTTCCTGGATGTTTGAAAATTGGATGTGGTATTTTAGCAATGTTTAAACCTGAGATACGTAGTGAAGAGAAAGGAATACAGTGGTTGAAATTATTTGAAAAGACACACGCTTGGCTGAAGTTCCCTTGTGAGGAGGTAGTTCAGTACTGCTGCTCAGTAACAACTCGGGAAACCTGAGGAAAACGTGGTAGTTATTCTATAGATTATTTTGGGGTGGGGGAGATGGGGGGTGATGGGCCAAACCAAGAGAGGTTTGAGATCTGGTGGAGCCAAATTAGGAGAATTTATGTGACAAAGACCTGATGGGCAAAAACAAAGGCTAAGGACCATTTTGTTGTGTGCTACAAGGTGCCAAATAATTATATTTGTGTCCTTAAAGAACATGCAAATGAAGGGGGTGGCAAAACCCCCTGAAGTAGCTAAGAAGGAACATGTAAAATGGTGGCTCCAAATATATGGGAGCGTTCCTATGAATTCAAAAAGACCAGGAAAGAAAGATTTGAGGATGAAAAGAGCAAAAGACTTACATTATAAATAATTTGTAAGTAATTTCTAGCCACATTCAACACAGGAGGTTTATAGTTCAGGCAAATTCTGCTCAGGAACAAGGCAGAGTTGCTTTCATTCCTAAAACAGAAGAGAGTGTTCCTAAAACAGGGGAGAAGTCCCAGCACTGCTCATCCCTCTGAAGTAGGTCAGGCTTGCAAAGATGGAGAAGATACACCTCATTTGAACCTGATTAGGAGCATGAAACAAGAAATGGATAAAAAGAGAAAACAAGGGGGGGCAGTTAGAGAAAACAACTGTCCGAGCCAGACAGTATTGCTTTTGTGATTAGTTCAGTTACACTGTCCCTTACAAAACTTACTCTCCTTTAGCTTCATTTGGCTTCTGTTAGACCTGTACATCTTTAACTTATACTCTACATGTGTGTGCTGCTCTGCTGGCTTTGCATAGATCTTGGGAGTTATAGTTTTCCAACTTCCATGCTTCCCACTGCTGTTACAGAAAAGATTTAGGAATCAAGCTGTCTGTTTAGGTTTCAATAATTGTTGATGGAAGTGTCCATTAACCACAGATAAGTTTTGGACAGAACTTGGAAAAAAAAAGATTTAACTTCTCTAGCTATTTGTTTTAATCTTGATTATAAAATGGAAAGTTCAACTATAGTATGGAAAGAACAAGTAAGCGCGGCAGACCTGAATGGAGGGAAAGATACCACCAACATACCTTTCTCCTGTTCTGTGATATTGCAGGCACTCATGTAACAAATATTCGTGTACTGGAATTCTTCTTCACCTCGGTGACCAGTCCCTGTCCCTGCTCTGCACAGAGGACACCACCAAAATACTTTGTTTCCTAGACTTCCCTAGCAGTAATTTCAGTATTTTCTCTTGAAGGACATGAGGAAGACTGCTTTGTGTTTCATAAGTATTTTTCCAGTACAGTGTCTCTTGTGTTCAGTGAATTAAAATCTAGCCCTCAGTGACAGTGTGGCTTTCCACTAGAAAAAGAAGGGAATTAAAAACTCATTGATTTTAGGGGTATGGTATAGAGGCTATAGTTAGAAAACTTTTTCTCTAAGTTTGTTTCTGTTATGTTTATTTTCTACTTTATTGAATGTTGTCCTAGTTTGTGTAGGTATCTCATGGTAAAGAAAGATATTCCAGCATTCTTGATGTGTCTTCTTTCACTGTATGCCAGGATAGATTCATGACACTGTGGCATGGTTTAGGCCAAATCGGCTACCGGGGACATGGGGGACCTAGAGCAGAACAAGTTATTGTAACACTCATTTTCCTAAAACGTGCCTAATTTCACCAACTATGTAATTTTTTCAGTTCTGTATGGGATTTCCAGAACTGTCCTCCTAAACTTTTGGAATTTATTTTTGATGGATTGTTTGTAAAACTCAAAAATAAGAGATTATCACACAAACGACAGCAATTTTGATATTTCCAATTTTCATTTGACCTATACATAACCCTTACAAAATAACAGTTGTGATGTATTTTTCACTGTATGAATGGTAAAAGAATTTGCAACTTTGTTTGTAATTTAAGACAAATAATGCAATAGAGAATAAATCGGTCAGAAATAAATATTCCATGCATGTTCTAGCATGGATTTGTTAACTTTAAAGCTTTTTATATTTAAAGAGAATGGTTTAGTTTAAAATAGATAGATCAGTAAATACACAGTACTAACTGACTGTTGGCAACTCACCATGGCTCTGCCTTTGATATTTAAAATTAACAAAAAATTTTATACAAGAGTTTGACTTTTGAAAAGAATGTTCCTGTCTGTCCTTCATAAATAAGAGTATAAAATTCATTGGAATATGAAAGGAAGTATATAAAGGCTTTCTTGTTGATATGAATCAAGTTCATATGAATCTAATGACTACCCAACAAGAGGTAGATATCTAACGACAAGAGGAAATCATATTTTGCACCTTCATAAAGAAAGCCACTGAGGGTACTGTACCCACAATACTTCTAATTAAATGTAGTTTTCAAGAACATCTCTGACTAACTTTGAGTTTTGCTGTTCTGCATAAATGTGAAGAACTGGAGTTGTCCTGTCAAGCACTCCAATCTGAAGATAAGTTATCAAAGGTATCCAGCATTGAAAAATGTATTGTATTATCAAAAAACCTCACCGCTCATTTGTTGTTTATGCTTCTCCTACAGGTAAGTTGATGTGCATCACTACAGTCACATTAGTGTGCACTAACCTTCCTAAATGGCTGCTCTTGATCTTGTAGTACTAAACAATACAAAAAATATTCTTTTTTATCTCGCCTGCATGTCCAACTACAGAAGACACTTGGCTACCGAGATTAAGTTTGTCATACAAAGACTGGAACAGTAGCTCAGTGTACTTCCCACAGCCGGAGGCATCCATAACCTCCAGGGAGCAGAGATGCCAGAGAACCTGGTTCAGGAAGAACGATGCCTGCGTGGGAGCTAGAGGAACAGCTTGCTTGCTGGCTTTGAAAAGATGACTGCTCAGCAGGGAAACTGGGACAGAAAGAATGAGATTTGGAACCCAAAGGGCACCTTGTTTCTGGTGAAATATCTCTGTATTGGTATTGTTACGTATCTTCCATGGTACAAAATGGAGAGACAGGAAGTCACTTGCAAGCCTTATGTAATATCCAGTCCTGTAAAGAGGTGCATGCTGGGGAATTCCTCTGCCCACATAGCGCTCCACCATGCAGGCGTGCCTCCGCATCCTTATCTTTGCATAACTCAAGCATAGACCTCCTACAAGATCATCTCCCACCTCTAATGTGCATCTGTTCATGTTCTG